AAGGCGCTTCCTCAACACACAGATGAGAACTGTGAATCATTAAATCACTGTTGGATTAAAAACTTCTGAAGTAGTGGGGTAAACAGTATACATTGAAGACCAAATTAAAGAATTATCACAGTGCAGCAGAAAACAGTAAAAATGGGAGCAGTCCTCTGTGGGAGCCCTTCTGCTAAATGTTCCCTACAGACAAGAGCAATGGCTACATGGCTTTGGATCCCTCACAGCAGAATCTGCAGCTGATGGGGTCTCATCACTGACTGACTCAGCCTGGAGCAATGACTGATAATCCCTTTCTCTCTTAGGGTGCTGCTTCTGCTGCAGGTCCCTCCTGAGAGAGCTAAAGGAGATATTTTCAGCTTCTGAGATGTTCCCTGTAGGCAGCGTAGGCCTGGGTTTATAACCTCCATCACTTGCCAACTCCTGTGGGGTTTCACTACCTACACCATCACCCCCAGGGACTGAAGAGTAGAGAAAAAATCCTGCTGTGGCACACCAACAGACAGACATTCTGGGAATGAACTCTCTGGCCCTGACACAGGGAAAAATCCTGTTGAACGTGACTCAGAGCTCGGCAGAACCTCTGCAAGTTCTGATCCTGCATCCATGTCCGTCACTTGGGGAACTCCTCTCCCTTTCACCAGTTCCTTTGGCTTCCTATTAAACAACTAGAGAACTGCAGGGTGGAAAAGGCCCATATAAGTGTAAAGTTGTTATTAAGAAATAGGCAAAGCACAGTAACTAGTGACTCACAAAGTTTAATGTGAGAAAACAAAGCTATCCTTCAATGGACCACATAGAGAGACAGCAATTATTGTAAACTGGAAAACCTCTTTAACATGCAACTTAAAATATGTGGCAAATAAAATCCATTGCCCACCAGGCTCAGTGATTCCAAGTATCATTTGTTTTAGGATTTGTTTTCCTCTTTCAAATCATAAGACAGTCATTTAAATTAATAATAAGCGAGTTATGGGGATAATGGGATTTTTAATGAGCTGTTTCTGGTTGGGGGTTGCCTTTACAGAAATTCATCTACTGCATTGCAAATGCCAGTGCTTAGCACTGGGGGATGTGGTGAAAAGTATATTAGTCTAAATCTGCTTGAACAGAAGGGCCAAACTTTGTTCTTGCAGTGTGTTTAGGAAAACTCCCCCAGGACAGAGCTAACATTACATGGTTTTACTCGAGGCACATAGATTTGGATGGAGCAGGATAAGAGGAAAAAAAGATGTAATCAGTATCTCTGGCATGATTGGATGAAAAAGGAAAAAAATTAAAGATGATGTTGGTAAAGTCTTCCCCTTCATTACGCAGACTGGGTGCTTAGAGTTGTTCTTATTAGTAAGATTGTGTAGTATTCAGACAATTTGGAGCTGTTATTGTAGAGGATCACTAAGATTTAGTGGAACATTTCTTGATGATCTTTAGCTTGACTTCTACATCCTGATTTGCCTGAAATGACTGCTTTTTGGTCAGAAAGTACCAATTTCCCTCCAAAACATGCTGTAACTCAGAAGCAGAAGACCCATTCCTGAATTGCTACCCATCCAAAAAAATGCTTGCCCCAAAGGACCAAAATCCCACAGCACATTTAATTTCCTGCATGAAAAAAAAAAAGCTGTGGTCCCTCATTTGGGATCTGTGTCTCTCATGATGTCTGGGTTGAGGCCTCAGGCAACTGAAGGATGTGTATCCAGCAAGAAGAAGCCACCCCAACCCGCAACCACTCTTCCCACAGCCACGGCTTTGTGCAAAATGACAGAGAGGGCAAAACGGCGAATGCAAAATCTCCTGAGTAAAAAGGAATTAGTAAAACCCCATATTCATGAAATATTGAGAGCTAATTATATGTGCATCGGAAACCTCTGGGGGAAGGGAGATGGAGGCCTTTCATTAGACGGTAACTGGAACTTTTTCATCATTTGTCTAGCTCAGGAATGTAAGGCTGCTGTCTGGAGAGGGATGTGGGATTTGGCTGCAGGGCTGGGTGTGCAGGTGAAGTGCCATGCTAGCGAGTATTTCTATTGTACTCTGGCATGTCTTGGAAAAGGGTCTCAGCTGTAGCAGGTCGGTGGGGTTGGATGCTCCAACATCTTGGTGCTCCCACAAGACCTCTTCACTTGCCCATGGGGAGGAATCGTTGTTCCCAAATAACGTTTTCCTCTTCCTCCCACACTGCCCCCAAATGGGTCCAAAGTCACATCCCACACTTCAAACCTCAACACGGTTTCTCCAGCAGGGTGAAGACCCCAGTCTCTGCCAGACCGTCTCCAGAAAGTTCAGTTTCCTTGCTTTTGACTTGCTCTCTTCTTTTGCAACCAAAACGAATAGCTAGTTATTGCCACTGCACCACCGAGCAAATTCAAGACCAAGATCAGAATCGGTGAAGACGGGGGGGAAGTTTTTATGGTGGAGCCAGAGAAAGGCTCGCAAAGGCAATCCTGCCTGCTGCGTGGCTGACAGCCCTTGCAGCCACGGGGCAGGGGACGCAAAGCAAGAAAGCGGGGGGGGGGGGGGGGGGGGGGGGGAGGGGAGGGTGAGGAGGGGAAGCAGCCTGCAGTGCGTGACTGAGGGTTTTCTTTCTCGAAGTTTTGCAGCAACTTTAGACACAAGGATGCTCGGGGAAACCCATCCCAGCTCTCTGTCTTCTGCCCCTGGCTCCCTGCTGCCAGACCTCCTGCCCTCCCCTCGTGATCTCATGCCGATCTCGGCCGAGAGGGACGCGTGTCCCTCCTCGCGGAGGGCAGCAGCTTCCCTCCCGGGGAGCGCCGGACAAGCCGCCTGCCGGCAGTGGCTCCTCCGGGCCGTCCTCGGGGCCCGGCTCATCCCGGCCTTCCCCCGCGGAGCTCCTGCACCCGCGGAGCTCCCGCACCCGGGGAGCTGCTCGCTTTGCTCCCGCGGCGTCGGCGGCGCGCCCCGGCCCTCGGCACATAAATCAGCATTTAGCCCATTCCCCACTCTGATCCCCGGTGCCACCATCTATTACTCCCCCAGTGCGTTTTCTATCACCTTTTGTTAGAATTACACAGCCGGAAACTTAATTTACCCCGAGCTTTAAAGACAAATACACCCCGGAAGGCCAGTGGCCCCGCGATATGCCTATTTACTCCCGCGATCCGTAGATTATTATGAATCGTTGTGATTTTCAGGCTGCTGCTGGTTTAAATACCTTCTCGGCTACTCTTCCCAGCTGGAAAAAAAAATTCCGCCCACCCTTCTCGAGCAAGGGCCAAAGAGCAGGAGATCATCTCACTTGCGCTGGGCTTTATTTACTTTTCCTACTATTGTTATTATTATTTTTGAAATTTGGAGCTAGTGAGGTTTTCAATTGCTGAAATAATTGCCTGGGAGAAAGGTTGCTTAATCTGTTCATACATTATTGACTTGGGCTCCAATATTTGACGTTCTGCTTTTTATTGCAAGAAGATCACGTACGACAGTCTTTTGCATAACAATTTTTAAAGAGGACACATCCTTATATCGAAAGTGGACGTGACTTGAATTTTGCCGGCGTTTGTCCCTAAAATGACCCAATTCCGGTTACTGCCACTGGGCAGCAGTAACATTGCATCATTACTCCAGGCAATAGACTTATTTTGCTTTACTCTCTGCCCCTTTCCCAGTCCCCCACCCCCAAGTCAACACGTACTTTTAAAACTGATTATTTTATCTTGCTGCGTTTTAGCCCTGCACACACTGTTTTTTCTCCCTGGGAACGGATGAGCAGAGAGCAGCAAGCCCGGCTCGTAGGACAACATGGACAATTAGAGCCGAAAGTTTCCAGGCAAGGCAGAAATAGTGCCTTCAACGAAATTTTGCTGTGAGCCGCCGCTGAGAGAGCCCAGCGCCGGTGTCAGCACCTCCGGCCACCTCCCCGAGCATCATTTTCCCCGATGAGGATCAAAAGAACCCCCCTCTCCCCTGTTTTTTTCAATCGAAATCGTGCTGCTCCCAGCCACAGTGGTCAAGTTAGTTCCGGAACAAAGGAGGACAAAAACACAAAGGATTTCTCTTCCCCTCTACCCCCCCTTTCTCCCCTTCTCAACTTTCCCCGTGCTTGCATCTCGGCCCGGCGCAGGCCGGAACCCCCCAGCTGGTATCGCCTCCCGGGTCCGGGGAGCGTCTTGCAGCCACGGCCGGGCCGTAGGAGTGCGAAGTGACAGAAAGGGGGACGGAAATGTTGTGGTAAAGGGCATGGGTCTCGGGTCCTCTCTAAAGCACTGGTAGGGAGAAAGCCCTGAGCTGCCTGCGGACCGGAAGGGGAAAATTGGTGACACTCACGTCCCCCGACACCGGTGCTGTCGTTCAGACCTCGGGGTAAAATACCTAAAGATCGTTGGTGGAGAGCCCCTGTCATCACTGCAGACAGGCGCCTGAAGCGGGGTTTGCACCTGAGAGCCGAGGAGATGACCCCGGGACGGAGCATCCCTCTGCACGAAGAGTTGGGCAAACTTCCCTCCGCGACAGACCCCTGGCTCCCGGGCGGTGGACGGGCGCGGTGTTGGCAAGAGGAGCCCCTCAGGGCGGCCCTCGGGCAGATGGGGAAGGCAGGGAGGACTAGTGGTGGAGGGGTACCGTGCCCGTGTGCAGCCTCTGAGCTGACAGCTACACCCATTTGCACACGCGTGTGTGCGAGCGAATGTTCCCCCACACCCTCGCCGCACCCATGTTCAGCCGCACAAACGCACCCGCAAAACCTGACACGCAAATACACGCGCGGAGAGTGCGGAAGGGCTGCACTCGTGGGCTGGGAGACACGGCGGGGCTGCGTGGAGCTGGACGCAGACAGTCCCTGCCCCTACACCCACGGCAGAGCAGCGGGTGTGCGGCGTGGGCGCCAGTCCCGCCTGTGCCCCTTTGTCAGCCAAATATCCAGAAGCCGGGGAAGGGAAAGGCTATACTACCACGGAGAGCCCTACACCCACTGGGTGGTGGGAAAAGTCTCGGGGTGCCGTTCCCAAAGCGGGGTCCCGGCACCCTGCCCGGACGGGGAGCCCCCCCGGGCAAGAACACCCCCTGCGCCCGCCAGAGCCCCGTGGAGCCGCCCCGGCCCCCTCCGCCACCCTCGGGGTCGGGCGGCGAAAGTTTTCCCGACTCTTCCCTGCTTCCAGCTCCACGGCTCCCCGAGCTGAGAGAGAAGCAGGGCGAGACATAGGTGGGGAGAGCCGGAGGAAATTGAAAACATATTTTAAAATGTAAACGGGTCGGAGCCAGCCGGAGCGGGCGTGCGGGTGATGAGGCGCATGGAGGGACCGGGAGCGGCCCGGCGGAGCAGAGGCGTGTGCAGACCCCAAACCTTCCACGGAACTTTCATCCCCTATTGGTAACGTCTTTAGCGAGGGGACAGGAGTATCTGCCCCGAAATGGGGCAAAGCAGCGCTCAGAAACCTTCACTGTAACTTAAACCAGATTGTCAGGGAGCAGCCGCGGCCAGAGGCAGCCGCCGGAGCTGCTCGCCGGGCGAGAGGATGCCGCTGCCCTCCTCGGATCTATTCCTCCCCCGGCCAGCTAGCGATAAACATCTCCGGGAGCTGAGACTTTTTAAGGCACCCGATCCAGGTGACTTGTACTGCTCGCAGCGAGGTAGGGTGGGCTGCAGATGTGTGTGGGAGGCGGGAGGGGGCTTGGGAAGCAGATGAGAAGGGGTTTCCAGCCAGGCCACTGGAAAGGAGTGAGCTTCTTTTTCTCTTTCTCTTTTCTTTTCTTTTCTTTTCTTTTCTTTTCTTTTCTTTTCTTTTCTTTTCTTTTCTTTTCTTTTCTTTTCTTTTCTTTTCTTTTCTTTTCTTTTCTTTTCTTCCCACTTCTTTTTTTCACTTTCCTTCTAATTTTTATTTTCCTCTTTTCTATGCATCTTCTTTCCCTCCCCCCATCTTTCTGGGTTCTGTAATTTTTCTTTTCTCCTTGGTTCTTTCTCTTACTATTTTTTTAATTACTATTTATTTACTCTTGCTTTTCTTTTTTAATTTTCCTTTTCTAATAAGTTTTTTTTGTTTGCTTGTTTGCTTAGTTTTTTTTTCTTTTCTTATTTAATTTTACTTTTTATTTTCCTTTTTCCTTTCATCTTCAATTTTCCCTTTTCTTTCCCTTTTTATCTTTCTTTTTTCGTTGTTTTCTTTCTTCCTTCCTTCCTTTTTTCTCTTTCCTTTTTTTTTTTTTTTTTTTTTTTTTTTTTGTAGAAAAGGAAACAAACTAATAATACCGCTAAAAAAGACAGTTTTGTCTCCTCTCCCTAGAAACTTCTGTGGGGTGTTTTCGCCTCCGTCCTCCTTGGGAAGTGGGGACAGACAATGAAGTAAATAAAATAAAACCTTTCCTACAGATCCCCACGACTTGAGAACCGGGTTGCATTGCTGGGGTGGGGGTGGTCCTGAGTGGTAATTGATTCATAACTCTGCACCAGGACACCAGGGTACAACATACCTGGCGCCCCGGGAACTTCTCGGGGGAGCGGGGTGGCCGCGCTGCCCGCCCGGGCTGGGATGCGGGGCTGTCGCTCCGGCCGGACGCGCCAGGGTCTCCCCGCAGCCCGGCCCTCCTTTTCCTAAAAACTATCCCTTCCTCTCTCCCCGCGCTGCTACCAGGAGAGATTTTGCATCCCAGAGATACAAACCTGTGCTCCGAAAAAAGTTTCGAGCGGGGCTGTTTCCAATACCTATTTACCAACGAATTACACCGCTATTACTGCTTTCAATGAAGACTGAATCCCCAAGCGATAATTGAATTAGTCTATTGAAGAGACTGTCAGGTACAATGACGTGGTATATCCCGCGCCTTTCCCAGGGTCTATAGGCTTTGGGGACCCGGAATGTATAGTCTGACCTTACAGCTCATAATAATAATGCTGCACTTGTAGCAGAAATCTATTCGTATTCACTTTTAACAAAACCTCTGGTCAGCCAGTCCCTGTAGGAAGGATGAAATCTATTGTATTAGAACAACTCATTTATGTCCTTCAGCAAAGGCCCCAATGAGATCTGATCTAGACCTAGAAATAGGATTACCACAGCGTATATTAACCACGTTTCTATACTTTCTCCTTCCTATAAGGGCGTCGAGAAAAAAAATACGATGGGTTTTTAATCTAATTTTAACTTTATTTTTATTTTCAATTTTAAAACTTCCTTCCTTTGGTGGCCTTCCTCAAAAAGAAGAAAATGCGAAGAAGAAAAGGAAAAAAAAGTTAATGCAACGAAATCGGAGAAATTATTTCTCCCCGTTTCCAAAGAGGTTGCGGGCGCCGCAGGCTGGCGTCGTGCGGCGGGAGCGATGCGAGCGCCCTCCGCGCAGCCCGACGGCAGGCAACGGGGGTCCCAGCCCTGCTCCCCGGCTCCGCCGCCCCTCGGCCGCTTTCCACCTCCCGGACTGGATTTTCTCCCGCCCCATGCCAGGATGGCTGACCCAAGCTCCACCGCCGAGAGCCGGTGGGGACACCAACCTGCAAGAGACTCAGACGGCACCGCAGCACTTCCGAGGGGCAGCAGAGCCGCAGCACAGCCCCGGCTCTGCAGCACTTCAGTGAGAGCACCCGGTGTTCCGGCCCCGCTGGACGCACCGGTGGCTCCTCGGGACCGGCCCCCCCTGAGACGGCAGCGGGCACGGGGCACCAGGGGACCGGGCGCCCCAACGGGCGCCCCGAAACCCAGCGGCACCCACAAGTTACAGAGGGAACTTTTTCCTAAGAAGAGGTTTTTTTTAAAGCTTCCGTCCGTAAACCGTCTGTGTGCAGACATATTACCCCGATTACCGTAACTACCTGCGAGCCGGGGAGTAATATTTATCTATTTAGATAGGAAGGGTCGCGATGGAAAAAATATCCAGCCTGGAAATATACATCGTCTTTTCCTTTAACCCCTCCTCATTCATCCAGACGATCCCCCACCCCTTCCATACACAAACCTACTCAATTTATAGAGAAGCCTTTACAATCCAGAACAGTTTCTAGAAGAAGGGAGGACTCCAGATGAAATAATCCCCCTCCCTACACACACACGTACACACAGACACACACGCACATACACACACTTCCCCCCCGCGCGTGCTCAGGAAGGCAAATTAAATAGTTAAAGGCTTCGATTTCTCTCTCTCTCCCTTTTGTTACCCAATTTTGGAACATTTAAGGATGGGTGTGTGTATTGTATTCAATAATAAAAGCTATAGGGCCGCCAGGACATTTATCATCCTATTACTGTAACAAATCCGGGCTCCCAATACATGAAAGGTAAAATGAATTACCGACGTTAAGCCGTCAATAAAGTCATTTCTGTAAATGGTGTCTCCGAAGGACTGCAGCATTATTCAACTAGCTTTATCAGCAGCTGGGAAATTACGTGAAGAAGCTCGCAGCGTGTAATATGGCCCTGCTTACTTTGATTAAGCGTCTTGCCAGGGAATAGTGACAGTGCTTTTGACCAGGTTTTATTCGCCGTCCTGTGATGAACGCCAAGCTGATCAGGCGGAATGAAGAGTAATTAAAACCTATAAATTATCTTTTGCAGCCCTTCTCAAGGCGTCTCTTGCAGGAGAGATAAGGCAGCGAGCCCCCATTTACAGCTCTGAAAGGGACCGCGGCTCACAAAGGCTACGTGGCTAAATGGGATATTGATAGTGTCCTAATTAGAATTTAATTAAGTACCCACGCTCGCTTTTGGGATAAAGATTTCAATTTTGCTAACTTAAATATAAATAAACCCAATTTCGGTGCGAGTAAATGATATGATATTGTGAATGCGGAGGGGGTTAACATTCATTTAATTGCGGATGAAGCTCTTGATTCCAGGGCTGATTTTGTTCTGCCAGCTATTATTTTAGAGGATTATTGTGTGGTTGGAGGTAACAATTCGGTAATGTTTCCCCGGTACAGAAAATAACCGAACGTGCCTCGGAGCTGCGGGCACACGCACGCCTCCCGGGCACCTGGGGAGCAGCTGACAGACACCCAGAGGTGTCTCCTTCGATTCCCGGTGCTGGTCGCCTTCTGGAAGCGTAGTCACGGGCCGGGCCGCTTCCACGGGGCTCCTCCCGGGGCGGGAAGCCCATCCAGCCGGGGCGGCGCGGCAGGGCGAGATGAGGGAGCCTCGCTGCTGCCGGCACCGCAGCTCAGCCCGCAAGGCACCGCCGTCATATAGACACACACAGATATAGACACACACACATAGAGCTATAGGTGTATTTTGAGCCCGCACCCGTGCACATATAGGATATATAGGCGGAGGCACGTGACGCGGCCCGGCCCCACGGAGAGGCGCGGAGCGCTGCGCGGGGCCCCGCGGCCTCCCCGGACCCACCGTCACCCAGCCGCCGTTTTGGAGGGGAAAATGGGGGGCTTCGGTTACGTCAGAAAGAGAAAACGCCCTGAATTGCCCTTCCCATATCCCCAGGAAACGGCCGCGGGCAGGAGCGCGGCTCCAGCCGGAGCAGGTGTCTGCGGCCGGCCGGGAAGCGCCGCGGCTCCGGGCACCCAGCACACCCAGACCTCCTCCGATGTGTAAAATGTGAGGTGTCGGGGGGACCCCATCCCTAGTGCCGCTTCGTGCGAGCACCAACACTGCCCTTCCACGCAGCGACTCGGCCCTTGGTGGCCGGGAGCGCCCGGGGCCGCGGGGACCGGCTGCGGCAGAGCCGCCCTCCCTGCGGCGCTTGGCTGCGTCCCCAGCAGCCCAGCAAAACCAAAACCGGGGTCAGGGTATTTTTATTTTTTTTCCTGTAAATTAATTTTTAGATAGCAGCATCGTTCCTGAAAAAAAAATGGCTCTTTCTTCCCAACCTTTAAAATCCTTAAATTTCTCTTCTGCCTCAACACACGTTCCGAGGTGGTTGCTCCCTGCCGGGCAGAAAAAAACAAAACAAAACCAAAGAATACTAGGGGGGGAAGAAAGGCAACAAACAGATTCCGAACAAACAAATAAACATCAAAAAACAGAGCAGGAAACATGATACAAGTTCAGCTGTAAGCTGGCCCTGATCTGCTTCATATTCCGAAAAAAACCCCCAACACCCCAAACCTAGTAAAGAGGGGTTTACTGAGAGAGAGGGAAACCACAGAGAGGCAACGGTCGTAAGCCCGGCTCGCCCTGGCAGTGCCTCCCGCCTTTATTGCTATTTATTGTCATTGTCATTTTTTACTCCTCAAAAACAAAAATTTTGGATTCCCGGCGAGCCTCCGCCCGGCTCGCCGTCTCCCCTCGCTGCGGGAGAACAGAAAACAAAAAGAGGGGGATAAGTGCACAGATACGGGAGGAGGGGGTGTTTATTATCGCTGGGGCTACACGAAAGCGGCCGATGACCAAAAATCAACACACCACGCGTTGAGAGGGGGTGCACGCCGCTGCTGGAATTTGTTTACAGGGCTAGTAGGGGGTCGGGGTGGTGGTGGGGGGCGACGTGGGGGGGAGCGGGTCCACGCGCGTGGGCGCGGCGCGGTGCTCCCGCCCCGCCGGGGCGCTGCTGCTGCCGCCGCTGCCCGCCCGCCCCGTCCCGCCCGGCGCCGTCCGCCCCGTCCGGTGCCCACGCGGTATTTATGGCGGCGGCCCCATTGGGCGCGGTGCGGGGTGTCAGCGGCGGCCGCGCCGCGCCATTGGCCGCCCCCACGTGCGGGGCCACCTCACGTGCTTCCGGTGCGAGTGAAAAAAGTGTGGCTGAGGGATTTTTTAGGGAGAGTTTGGTGCACGGATCGGCGCTGTCAGAGATTTGGCCTTTTTTTTTTTTTTTTTTTTTTTTTTAGAAAAGGCGGAAAAAAAAACAAACAAAGGGGGAAGGAAATAAGGGGAGAGAAAAAAAAAGAATTAAAAAAAGAACCCTAAGCGGGCGCGGGCGGCGCAGCACCGGGCTGGCGGGGACGGGCTCCGGCAGCCCGCGGCGTGGGCAGAGTGGAGCGTGACAGCGGGGCAGCGCAGAGCCGCCGCGGCGGCGGCGACGGGGAGATGGGCAGATCGTGACGGGTTTTCGGGGGGCGGGTTTTTTGGGGGGGCCGTGGTGCCGCCGCACACACCTTTTTGGGTTTGATTTTTTTTTTTTTTCCTTTTGTGGTGGAAATATAAGCTGATCGGGAGAAGGGGGAGAGAAGCCCTCGAGTGTCTCCCCGGTTTTGGATCCATCCGTGAGAGGGAGAGAAAAAAAAAAATCTCATCTCCAGCCCAACAAGTGGATTTTAATCTCTTTCTTCTTTTTTTTTTCTTCTTTTTTTTTTTCTTTTTAAATTTTTCCTCCCCCTTTTCCACCCCGCCACCCACCGTCAAAGTGGGGTGGGCGTAAAGTGGGTGGGTGGGGGGGAAAAGAGGCAGTGATCTCCGTGGCGGCGGCTGAGCATGGAAGAGCCGCCGGAGGGGCACGGCCACCGAGACGCGGCGCCCGGCCCGGCGAGCAGCGGCAGCGGCAGCGATGGCGAGAGCGTGCCCGTGTCCCCCAGCCCCGCGCCCGCCTCCCCCGCCGCGCCCTGCCCCCTGCCTCTGCCCCGCCGCCGCCACCCGCCGCCCCCGCCGCCGCCCCCGCCGCCGCCGCCCCACCGCACCACCAACTTTTTCATCGACAACATCCTGAGGCCGGACTTCGGCTGCAAGAAGGAGCCGCCCGCGCCAGCCGGCGGCGGAGGAGGAGGCAGCCGGGAGCGGGACGGAGACCGGGGGCAGAGCTCAGGTAGAGAAAACGTCAACCCGCTGCTGGCCCGGCCGCCCAACCCGCCCGTCCTCCTCTGCCCGGACTCGAACTGCCGTCCCGACGGCTCCGCGCCGCCGCCGCCCGCCGCCGCCGCCTCCAAAACCAGTCCCGCCGCGGCGGCAGCGGCGGCGGCGGCGTCGGGGGCGACCAAGCCCCCCGCCGACGGGGGCGAGACTCACCCGGCGAAGTACGGGGAGCACGGCAGCCCCGCCATCCTCCTCATGGGCTCTAATAATGGAGGACCTGTTATAAAGCCCGACTCGCAACAGCCGCTGGTGTGGCCTGCCTGGGTCTACTGCACTAGGTATTCAGACAGACCGTCCTCGGGTAAGGAACCGCGGCGCATCTGGGAGCTGTTAAATCGTGACAAGGTCGCCCCCCCCCTCTCCTTCCCCTCTTCCCCCCTTGGCTTTGGCTCCCGGCCTGTTCAGGACCTCGCGTGGGGAGGCGCGGGGGGAGGGTGGCCTGGGTCACCCGGGGCGAGAGGAAACGCGTCCCCCCCACTCCACCCCTCCTTCCTTCTCCGAGTCTCCCAAATTTGAATGTGACGCCTGGCCCCGATTCGGCAGCGGTTCGATGCGGAGAGCCGGCGAGAGCGACCCCCTTCCCGCGCCCCTGGCCCGCCCCGCCTGCCGCAGCCCCGGGTGTTCCGCAGCGCGGCGGCGCGGGTTGAGAGCCGAGAGAGAAAAAAACCAGCGGGTTCGGTCGCTTCCTTGCTCTGAAGCTTTTTCTCCCCTTATTTTATTTTTTTCCTGGGTGCTGGTGGCGGGGGGGAAGACCCGAGCCACATGTTGAGCGGCTGCTGGCGGGGCGGGGGGGGATGGGGGAGGTACTGTTTTCTTGGCAGGCGAAGGAAAAAGGGCTTTTTTGGAAGGTGGCGGAGGGGCTGTTTTACCGGGGCCTCTGCAGCGAGCCAGGCAGGCGCTTAGGCCGCGCATTGCCGCTGGAGCCGGTGCTCCCTGCTGCTGTTTGGGGCCCAGCTCCGGGGAGGGGATGTGCCTCTGCCCGGGGCCGTCCCGGTGAGAGCCGCCGGCTCGGCCCTCCCGACCCCATTCTGCCGCCCCTTCTACCTCTTTAAACTCCCCAGGTGCCCCAGGCAGCCCCTTATTCATCACCGTTACGTTCTGGTTTTAAATGCCATTTGTTTGCAAGAAGTAGACGGCGAGGAGAGGGGGTTCCACATGACACCCCCGGCCAGCAGCCAGGGCTCCGGCAGCGCGGCGCGGGGCCGGGGTAGGCTGCCCTGTGCCTTCCCGGGGGCCGCTCCGATGCGCGGGGAAGGCGTTGCTGCCCTGCCCCGGCCCCGCTCTGCGCTGCCCGGCCTAGTGCTCCCCGCCGGCCGTCAGTGCGGCCGAGCTGTCTCCATCCCCCGTTATTGACACGTCCAGCGACTTGAAACTCAGAAAAGCCGCTTTGATTGACTGGGGTGATTGATGGGGTGATAGAGCTGTCAGACGGCGCGGCCTCGCTCCCGGCCGGCCCGGCCGCGGGTGTTGTGCTGCCGATTCCCAGGGCCGCCGTGCACCCGGGGTTCTGCACTTGCGCCTTCATTTCCTTTCCTCCCCTTTCTTCGGGCAAAGAATCATTTCTGAGTGTCCTCTCCGACGCTCCCTGC